GTTTTCCGGCCGAGACTTAGGCCCCCAGTAATTTCCGTATAAACATCCACGAATTTATCCGTTCGAACGGGACGCGAAACCGGAGGATAAGGAGGTGGGAAGGGCCGCGAGGCAGAAGGCAATCGGCCGCGTGTTCGAAACAGCCCCCGGGGGCACGACGCTCAACTTTGGCAGGAGAATTCCAATTTTGGCCTCTTTCAATTTAAGGCTACTTGTCTTCCTCGCCGTCTTCTCGTCCGTCTTGTACCGGCAGACTTGTCGGCCTCGGAGCACCTCCTCTCCCCTCCCCACACCCGCCAACCTTTCTCTCTTCGCCGTCATTTCAATTCGCCTTTCCTTTTCTTCGGCTTCCAGCCGACTACGACTCCTCGATTCGTGATACAACCATCCCTCTCCGCTCCCACACCACCCCGGAACCGAAGGAAGAGGTCCCGCCGCCATTGATCAGACGCCACCGCCGAGAAATCGAGCGTTCCTCTTCTTCGATCTTTCTCCGTCTTTCTCTTCGAGTCGCGTTCCCTGTCCCGGTTCAGGCCTCGGGCCATCGTTATTACTTTTATTATCGTTGTTATCGTTAATATCCAAGACCAGGGCGCGACGCTTCCTCCCAACGGTGGTGCGACGATTGGGGATGGATCGTTGTGTACGCATCCGTTTCCTCATTGGGGGAGGATTTTGATTGGAATATTTTCGACGGTTCCGCGGGCTTCCGACGGCAATGGCGAATTATTTGTTTGCGGGGTGGTGTGACTGTAAACTTCGGGAGATTCTTTGTTGGTCGCTGAATTAATTGCTGCGTGAGCCGTCTAGTCGACCGTCCTAATCGTATCTACTCTTTGCATTTTGCTTCGCGGTAGTGCACGAAGCTATCCATTAGCACTAGAACTGTCAAGCTAGTAGATATATCTGGTTTTTGAACCCTTTGCGCTCCGTTGGATCCGCTATGGTGACATCCGTCATTTGTTCCGTAAATCCGAAGGCTCTATGCGGAGCCCAATGATTTTAGCATGATTACACCAAAGATGCTACGTTTTTGTCTACGTTGGCAATTGTTATTTGTAGTGAAAACGTGCTTAGCGTGTGTACCATTACGATTAAAACATTTTTTGCCTATTTTTATACTTAGCAACATAAAATGAATAAAATCAAACGCTTTCGCAAGGACGTGTACTCTATTCCGCTAAAAATAAGACTTCCTTTATCTCGGGCGCTTTGCTCCAAAAATGTGCCGGAGTTGCTGGTAGTGATATTTTTCAGAAAAACGCTGTTCAACTTTATTTTAGAACGTCCGAAGAATATTTACTAATTTTTAATTTAATTTAATTATTAATCGAGCCGATTCCAGTGAAGATTAACAATAAAAAAAATTCCGGCAAACTCGCAACAAAAGATGTTTTTGTTTCAATAATTCCGTATCCAAACAGAATTCAACAGACGATTCGCGATGCTAATTTTATAATAAATCGCGCCAAAGAACACGAGGGATATATTTATTTAAGAATTGCGAAGGATATCGTTAATAGTAAATTTACCCATTTCGACGAGGATGCATTTGCTGTTTGGAAATTTCGGTCACAATTCACGATGTCGATGCACCGACCTCGCACAATGTTAAGTAGATACCATTACGATTAAAACATTTTTTGCCCATTTTTATACTTAGCAACATAAAATGAATAAAATCAAACGCTTTCGCAAGGACGTGTAATCTTTTCCGCTCAAAATAAGACTTCCTTTATCTCGGGCGCTTTGCTCCAAAAATGTGCCGGAGTTGCTGGTAGTGATATTTTTCAGAAAAACGCTGTTCAACTTTATTTTAGAACGTCCGAAGAATATTTACTAATTTTTAATTTAATTTAATTATTAATCGAGCCGATTCCAGTGAAGATTAACAATAAAAAAAATTCCGGCAAACTCGCAACAAAAGATGTTTTTGTTTCAATAATTCCGTATCCAAACAGAATTCAACAGACGATTCGCGATGCTAATTTTATAATAAATCGCGCCAAAGAACACGAGGGATATATTTATTTAAGAATTGCGAAGGATATCGTTAATAGTAAATTTACCCATTTCGACGAGGATGCATTTGCTGTTTGGAAATTTCGGTCACAATTCACGATGTCGATGCACCGACCTCGTACAATGTTAAGTAGATACCATTACGATGAAAACATTTTTTGCCCATTTTTATACTTAGCAACATGAAATGAATAAAATCAAACGCTTCCACAAAAATGTGCAATCTTTTCCGCTCAAAATAAGACTTCCTTTATCTCAGGCGCTTTGCTCCAAAAATTAAGTTAATTTGTACTTTCACAATTCCTCGTATTATAAAAGTATTCCTACGAGAAACTTTTAGGCAAGCTTCTTTGCTCAAGATTATATTGCAATAGAAATTGCACGACGTTTAAACGAATCGAATCTTGTCCTTGTTATATAAAACAGTGTACATTAATTATTTTAGATTTCTTTAGATTAGATTAGATTTCTCGGTAGTTTGTGTTAATTAATCCTCGGTCGGCGGACCGTTTTCACAACAGAACTATAACAATTCCGAGCTTTGTTCAGCAATTCTTCCAAACATATTGTTACGAATTACTACACTTCTCCCGCGTCGCGGCATTTTATTTACAATAGAGAACACGAACTATAATACAACTAAATTATGTTAGAGATCTTTGAATTAGATGGTGTTGATCCTCGACGGTCCGATCCCGACTCCTCGATTGTCCGTTGATAAAACACCTCCGTGGCGACCCCTCTCTTCTATTTTTCTTTAAGGAGTTGCTCACAACAGGGCAGTTTCACATTACAGCGACTTGATTTGGACAAGTCGCCGTAACAATATTTTCGAAGACACATCTCGCAGACTCGTTAGCCTTTCCCAGCGCAACAACAATTTACTTGATTTCATTGCCGATAATTAGGCTACCGACTGAACGATTTCAATACTCTGGGTCAGAATTGTGACAGAGTCAGCGCCTTGCGAGGATGAAAAATAAAGGAAGCCGCGCAGGCGACAAAGGCAGATGTTTAATTTCCACGGCGTTCCCCGGCCCGATAATTATCGCAGCACGCGCCGGAAGAATTCGGAGCGCAGCGGCGCATATTGAAAACCGTAATTCGAGAAAATAGTCGAGGTCATAAGAGTGCTCCGGACGGTGTAATTACCGCAGACTATTAGCTCCCAGCAACCGAGAGGCGAACGCAATCTCCATGAATCCTTCCGGCGTTCCGGCCGAATTCCTAGGTATTCCGTTAAATCACCAGCATGTTAAGTATCGTCGCTAAGTACCTGCGGGTGCACCGGAGTCTTTCCGATGACGCATCGCAGAGAATAAAGCAGCGGAGGAGGAAACGGAATACACGCCCCGCTGTTTTCTGTCGAAATAACGGTCATTTGGGGAGGCAGAGCTAAAAATGTTTATCCTCCGGCCGTGGCCAAGGCATTACCGCAATTGGCTGCGCTCAGGGCTGGGAATTGCGTCGGTCTAACGTGTCGCGTGCTTATTCGAAGGAACTCCCGCAATAACCCTTGCTGACGCCGCGCCGACCCCCCCGGGGGACGAACCTGGACGTTGTTAGACGCGCACGAGCGCCAAGCGGCCAGCTAGCTGCCAAATTAGTATTGTTACCGAGTCAATAATTTCTTCTGTCCAAGTGCCGGTTGTTTGTTTCCCCACTCGCGCACGAGTCCTCTCGTTCCTCCGACGGGGACCCGCAGCCTTCGCGTGTTTTCGAAAACACACCGGCCCCGGGACAAACATACTTCCGTTCTATTCCGTCTATTGGCAACGGATAGTATCGGGAAATATCTTCGAAGATGTCTGCTCGCCCCAGTCGCTTCGAGTATTTCGAAATTGATTAGCGGAGTTCTCGTTGTTGGCTGCACGCTCTCGTCGCTTATCGGACATGGGCAAATTTTACAGAAATAATAGCAGTTTAATTGAAATGGCATTGGAATAATGGAAATAGTAATCATTGATGGAAATGATAACGATATATAATAATAGAAATAGTGGCAATATAATAGAAATAATGGCAATATAATAGATATAACATCGATATCATAGAAATAATAGCAATTTCAAACAATGAATAATTTCGTTATTTTTTTGTTCAAATATAACGAAAGAAATAATCCTCAAAATGATATGATAAAGACTTTGAAGAAATTTTTACGGGGCAATTTAATTTGCGTGGAATCTTTTCTGAGAAAGTTTACCTTTAAACCCACATAATTCCCAAAGAGGGTTTTAGAGTTATCTCAAATAACGCTTTCGATTAATTATAAACTAAAATAACATGCTATTTACAAAATAATATTTTATATAACGTTATTTCGAAAGTGATCACAGGCATGGAAATAATTACGAAATAAGATAACATGTTACTTGAAACAATATTTCAAATACAGCCCGAGGCTGTTGCTTCCGTCAACAAGCAAAGAGACCGCGATATCGGCTGTAATAACGTACAATGTCGAACCCGAAGAGAGGACATACTTTCCTCGTAAAAACAAATCGAACTACAGTCATCTCGAGCTACTCGCGGCGTCAAGTCGTGTAACGTACGCGGTAACCGAGGCGCACTTGAAACAATTTTCGCCGAAAAACTGTCGAGTGCGCGGTATTCAAATAGTTTCGCGTTGCTCTTTGAGATTCAGATTGCAGCGTGGAAAAAGCGGTCGACAGGGAACAAAAAAAGAAGAACAAAAATAAAACGCGAGTAGAAGTGTTTTTCCCTCGCGTGTGCCTCGTCGACCGTGTTTAATTGCGTTCGAAAGTGACTTTTCCGGCGCGGCCCGGGCTATTTGCGTGGATATTCTACCTTCGCACTTTTCCTTTCGCCGTTTTCGTTTGTTCACGGCCGATAGAATGTTTGCCGGTCGTCGTGTAAACAATAGCCGGGGCCCGCGTTCGGGTCGGGCTTTTAGCCGAGCGCCGCGGCGCCTTCGGTTCGTCAACGGAAGGAAACAATTTCTGCTCTGTTTTCAGGCGGAAGTCGAAGTTGTGGAACAATATAGCGATCCCAGGGACAGCAAGAACAAGGCGTACGTAGAGCCCGGAGCGGAAACGTCTCTGCCGACGATTTACAGCAAAGTAAATCGCAACTATTGCCGACCGTACACGGGTAAGTGGTCTACTTGCGTGCAGCGCTCGTTCAACAACCTCACTTTTACGTCGAAGATTAGTTCTTTTAGTTTTCGAGAGCCTCGAACGCTCTGCGAAAATTGAATCTGAACCGGTCCACGGAAATTGTTGCGAGAGCCGAGACAATTTTGTCGTGCAAAGAGTGCTCGACGAGAGAAGTTACTCTGAGCAATGAAAGAAGAAAGTACAATTATGACGTATCGAAAAGTAGCATAGTAAGCTTGCGTTTCTAAATAATAATCGCAGAAAAATATTATTGAACTTTGTTACTCGAGGTAACTGGATTGCGGATAAAATTACTATTGGTATTGAAAAATGAAATAAAATGATTCTAGCATTTTCAATTAGTACAGAGATGGAGATTTCATGAATTCCATCTTGTTATTCTTTGGGAGAACATTAATGACCCTAACACAATATAGTCGACGAAAATCGTTGACTGTAGATTTTATTGTAAATAAAACATGCTAATTTTAATTGTAGTAAAATATGCCAATTTTAATTATGGTAAAATATGCCGATTTTAATGTGGTTAAATATACTAATTTTGATTGTAGTAAAATATGCCGATTTTAATTCTGGTAAAATATACTGATTTTAATTGTAATAAAATATGCCGATCTTAATTGTAGTAAAATATGCTAATTTTAATTGTAATAAAATGTGCTGATCAACGAGATAGTAGTTCACAACGAAAGCATCCGTTTCGAACGTATTGCTAAACCGTGAAAGTGTTACGACGCGCTACAAAAAGATTTAACGCAGTATATTTATCAATGAACGTTTCAATTAACTTCTTCGCATGCGCAGAATGACTCCAAAATGAATATTAAAATTTATGGAGGCAGATAGTTCGTATATCGGCGACGATAAATTATAACAAGCGGAATCAAGGTTGTGAAATTGATGCGGGTAGATACTTTGCATAAGCCCGCGAGGAAAAATAAATACAGGGAGTGTCGTTAAAGCGCCGCTTATGCCAACAGACGCAGCGCATTCCAATACGATATCGGCGGATGATAAATCCATGCGAATCCTCGAGCACGGACAAAGACAACGACCGGTGCTCGTAAATTCGCGGAACATTCAGTACACGTCTAATGAACCGTCCGGGCTTAAATATATCTCTCGATAGGACAGATCCGGCATTATAATAAATAAACGTAAACCGTCGCTCGTAAATCGTCGACTTATCCTGGGCGCCTGGATGATAGCCACCGCCGCGCTCTTTTCTGACTCCGCTTATCGATTGGCCCGCTAGCTGTGTGTCCAACTTTCAGCCAACCAGCTATCATGCTCTCCCCGCACCCCGCCCTGTCACCGTTTTTTCTCATTTTCATTCGAAATCCTTTCTCACCGAGTGGTTGATCGGACATAATGCAACGCTGAGTAAATATCATGGCTGCTACCGGAGCCAAGGATCCTTCTCAAAGTATTGATCTGCGGAGAAGGAGACCGATCCGATGCGAACCGCTTAACTTAACACTTCGAAAACTGCCCGATCGAAGGAATTGTTGTTCGCTGAGTCGTGTTTTTAAATAAATACTATGAATAAGTACTATCTATACTTCTGTGAAGGAACGTTTTCGAAAGGATGAAAATGTCAGCGATCTTCTACGTCTCATCTAAAGTGCTATGAACACACTTGTAAGATGTAATCGTTATACAACGTTGCTATAGGATTAAATGTCGATGTAATGCTAAATCTCAAACAGCGGGAAACAATCGCGAATAAGTTGGTACTTTTCTGCAAATCTAAAGATTATTAATGAACGTTGCTATTGGATTATTTTTTCTCTTTTAAATACTCAGAAGTTTTTCCTTCTAGCATATAAGTTACAAAAACGAATCGACGCCGAGAGTCTCGCCAGAGTACCATTAGATAAACAATGATTTCATATGTATATAGAACAGAGTGCTCTTTGTCTTTAGGTGACGTTTTTGGTTTCGTCTTTGTGAATAGTAGTAAAGACGGTCCTTCCTCGTACATCAAATTAATAAACTAAAAGGGATAAGTTTAATTCACTGCGTTTTA